CTCCTGCTCCTGCTCCTGCTCCTGCTCCTGCTCCTGCTCCTGCTCCTCCTCCTGCTCCTCCTCCTACTGCTGCTGCTCCTACTGCTACTCCTACTGCTGCTGCTGATACTTCGACTGCTACTACTACTACTACTCCTCCTACTCCTCCTGCTCCTGCTCCTGCTCCTGCTCCTGCTCCTCCTCCTACTGCTGCTGCTCCTACTGCCGCTGCTCCTACAGCTACTACTGCTGCTGCTGCTGATACTTCGACGACGACGACTACTACTACTACCACTACCACTACCACTACCACTACTACTACTACTACTACTACTACTACTACTAGTACTACTACTAGTACTACTACTCCTGCTTTGGGGGGTGGCTCTGCCACAAAACTCTACCCCGCAAAAGACGAAAATTTGGCGAAAGGTCAGCTCAAGATTGGCGAAAGTTCACATTATGAGTAAGTCTGAGCGACCGGCTGCTACAGTGATAAAGTTTGGCTACTACAGGAAGGCGAAAGTTTGGCTAAAGTAAATTGGTTTTGGCTAAGAATGACGGATCCCAGATAAAGGAACTTAGATCAAAACACACACACTTAGGATAGGGTGTACTGAACTGAAAGCGGTGCCACACGCCAACCTAGGTTTTAAAAAACCTGAGTAAAACAAGGTGCAAAAGTTGGAGGTCATCGCTCTTAGGTTAGAGGCCATCGAAGGCAGGTTGAGAGGCCATCGCTAGGAGGTTGGTGACAAGAAACCACAAGACAGCAAAGCAGTCAAGGTTGGAGGTCTTTGCTCTTAGGTTGGAGGCCGTCGAAGGCAGGTTGAAGGGCCATCGCTAGTAGGTTGGAGACAAGAAACCACAAGACAGCAAAGCGGTCAAAGTTGGAGGTCTTCGCTCTTAGGTTGGAGGCCGTCGAAGGCAGGTTGAGGGCCATCGCTAGTAGGTGACAAGAAGCACAAGACAAACAAGACAGCAAAACAGCAAAAGTTGGGGGTCCATTCTAGTGGGTGGAGGCCAAAGTTCAGGTTAAAGAACCCCTTACAAAGTTTGGAGCAACCTATAGGGTAGTCTAGAGGAGAACAGAAGGAAAGGCACCGACGCACAAGTGTGTCGAGTACCATTTCCTCCTGTTCTCCTAAGTAGTGGAACAGGTACACATGGAGACGCCCCCACTGTATCAGCACCTGCTGGCATCCTCTTCGTTGGACGGGAAATGCCAGAGGTGTCCCGTCCCCCTGTTCCAAACCTTAAGGTTCCCTTTGATTCCAAGGGTTACGCACACACGCCTCCCCGAAGGGAGGCATGTGTGGCCTCCATCCTGCCCGGAAAGGAGGTGGGCACATGTGCACGCAAAAGGGACAGATGAAAATGAAAAGGACGAGACAGACAAAGGTGTGTGTGGTTGCCGATGAAAAGGAACCAAGTGAAGAGGGACAACCGATGAGCCAAACCTCATTGTAACGAACCTGGGCCACCTGAACCTCGTTGTAAGTAGACGCGTGCGTGTATGTGTGCAAACTAAGGTCCGGACGAAAGTACGCGCAAGAGAAAGAAAGGGTGAGGATGAAGAGGCATGAAGACAGAAAGACATGAAAGAAAAGAGGGAAAAACATGTCGGTGGGGGGCCGATGAAAGGGAAACCAAATGAACGGGGACAAACCGATGACAGCCCAAACCTCATTAGAAAAACCTGTTGCAGAAGCCTAGTTTGCTTGTAAACACGCCGCGCGCGAGGAAAGAGGGGGGAGGTGAGGAGGAAAAGAGAAGGAGGGAGAGAAGGAAGTAGGTGTTCCCAGCTACGACACAAGCGTCCAAGGACACACCAAAAAGGAAGGGCTCCCAGCTATGACGAAGCATCCAGGGACACCCAAGGAAGAGGGTGAAGAGAGGAAAGAGAGAAGCGAAGAAAGAGAGAGGGAGAGGAAGGGAGAGGAGAGAAAAGGAAAAGGCAGGTGCTCCCAGCTACGAACAGTCGTCCAGGGACACACCACAGAAAGAAAGGGGTGATCCTGAGTATTGCGTTCAGGAAACCCAAAAAGCAAAGAAAGAAAGGAGGAGGGAAGGGGAGGGGGGGGGGGCTAAGCTCGCGACAGGTTCCAATGAACCTTGAACCAACTTCGGTCGCTGCGACCACGTACGGCATGCCGCCACCTCTGACCGCTGCGGTCACGTAAAGGCATGAGCCAACTTAGAATTCAAAAATGAGACAGACATCCCACTTCTTGTGGCGTAAGCCATCTGCTGTCCGCTCCGGACACTTACATCTCCGGGCAGGGGAGATAACGACAAACCCCCGTTCGACGGGTCCACGGGAGGCACTCTACGGGCTCATCCCGGGTTGGCGCGAAGCCAAACGCGCTTAGAATAGGGTGTACTGAACTGAAAGCGGTGCCACACGCCAACCTAGGTTAAAAAAACTTGAGTAAAACAAGGTGCAAAAGTTGGAGGTCATCGCTCTTAGGTTAGAGGCCATCGAAGGCAGGTTGAGAGGCCATCGCTAGGAGGTTGGTGACAAGAAACCACAAGACAGCAAAGCAGTCAAGGTTGGAGGTCGTTGCTCTTAGGTTGGAGGCCGTCGAAGGCAGGTTGAAGGGCCATCGCTAGTAGGTTGGAGACACGAAACCACAAGACAGCAAAGCGGTCAAAGTTGGAGGTCTTCGCTCTTAGGTTGGAGGCCGTTGAAGGCAGGTTGAGGGGCCATCGCTAGTAGGTTGGAGACACGAAACCACAAGACAGCAAAGCGGTCAAAGTTGGAGGTCTTCGCTCTTAGGTTGGAGGCCGTCGAAGGCAGGTTGGGGGCCATCGCTAGTAGGTGACAAGAAGCACAAGACAAACAAGACAGCAAAACAGCAAAAGTTGGGGGTCATTCTAGTGGGTGGAGGCCAAAGTTCAGGTTGAAGAACCCCTTACAAAGTTTTGAGGCCTACCTGCAACCTATAGGGTAGTCTAGAGGAGAACAGAAGGAAAGGCACCGACACGCAAGTGTGTCGAGTACCATTTCCTCCTGTTCTCCTAAGTAGTGGAACAGGTACACAGTGGGGCGTCCCCCACTGTATCAGCACCTGCTGGCATCCTTTTCGTTGGACGGGAAATGCCAGAGGTGTCCCGTCCCCCTGTTCCAAACCTTAAGGTTCCCTTTGATTCCAAGGGTTACACACACACACACATATATATATACATTACAATATTGTAATGATATTTTTGAGATTCTTTAGATTGTATAATATTTTTGTATATGTATATAGACGATTCTATACGTACATCGTATACTCGTTTCACCTCAAACAACGAAAGCCAATCGAAAACATTACCCCAGGTGGCACACGACCCATGATGCATTTCCGGGTGGCGCACCGGTGCCCGTAGCGCTGCAACCACCGGGTGCCGTACCACATTTGGTGGAGTTTCATCACCAACGCGGACACTGAGCAGCAGATGCAGGATGCATCCGGAATCCAGTTACCAGGATTGCTCCAATGAGGCAGACCTGTTGGGGCCTGTTGGGGCCAAAAACCCTCAACTGATGACCTGTCGGAGGGGGGTTTGGTAGGATCTGGTCGGTATTTTTCGAGCGGTTCCTAGGCAGTAGGTACACCAGTGTGTAGATCAGGGCCAGCAGATGGAACCATAAAAATCATCGGTAGGCATGCCTACCTGCGCCGGCTTTTTGAGTGGTTGCTTCCATGTCCCCAACCAGTCCGAATCATGGAACCTTGCAACCTTTGTTACGTCTTTGTTAACCTTTAAAACGGTGCAAGTTTGCGAGGCCTTCGAAAAGCTCTAGGCCCAAATTTCCACACAATGTAATGATATCCTTTCGTGTTTTCCTCAGCAAAGAACGACCCGGGTTCGCCCCGTGCTCCGCGCGTTCGCTCGTCCACTGAGGCAAACTGAGTGTCGATGAATCTTGCAGAGTTGCATCGGTCGATGGGATGTATGTGAACTGGACCTTTCATCGCCTTGAACCGCAGCGAATGGGGGAGAAAACACAGGACACGGAGACATGCAGACATAAGTTGACGACATCCGCCTAAGCGATTTGCCCAAGCGAGCACGAGACATCAAGCGATCAAACAAACCATGTTCTTCCTGCCCAAGACAAGGAAACATGTAGGTGACATGCGCACACTTGTGTGCACCATGTTCAGGAGAGTATCTCCATTGACACAGAGATCGCCATCTCATTGGGTGGTGACGAGTCTACCTCATACTTGGCCAGGGGCCAATTATTGGAGTTTGTCACAAGAAGCAGATCCCAAAATTGTAGTAATGGCCTCCAACCTGCTTGCGATGGCCTCCACCCTAACAGCGTCCTAATTGTGCATGGACAAAATTGGTGCATTGGATCCTCAAAACAGCACTCCCCAGGTCGAGCCAAACGCCTTTCTGCACTGTTGGGTACGACCTGAGCGATACTACGTGGCCTTGCAGGCACACACGTGCTACATGCGTTCTTTTTGTCACCAGCTGGCCATTTTCTCAATTGAGCAGCACCAGGCTGCCCTGGATGCACCACCGCCACGTCCTTCCCAGGGGACTTGGGAGGACATTCACTCTGTGGAAGCCGGAACTACCAAAAGTACGAAACATCGCTTTCCCAAACCATCCGGAAGTCTTCAGGACCCGCAGCGAATCGGCCCCTTAAAAAAGACACCTTTCTGTTTTCCTCTTGGGAAACATCTATCCGCTCCAGCCATTTGTTTCGCTCCATGCTCAGGAGGAGATCATGTCACTGACGACCAGTAACGACTGCCCCTGCTATGGTGGCTTTGCATGTCGAAGGGGTGATGGAGCCTGCGAGCAGCTGGCGAAGCAATCGGCCGGGAGCGGCGAGGAGTGGCTTACACAGCAGGGTTGGCAGCTGCAGAGTTGAGATGATCTCACGTCGAGTTGTGCGAGTGGATACGCTGCTACATGTTCATACCGCAGCTACATGTGTGCGCGGAACTTTTTTCCGGATTGGGGAACACCTCCAGAGAATCAAGCTATTTTGGTGCGAAACTCTGGGTCAGAAAGTTGAGGTTTTGAATGATTTTGACCCATGCATAGGACATGTTCCCAAGAAAGAAATGGCTGTGGGTCATGGCACCCGTGGCCCTAAACCATCTTTTGAAGAAATTTCTGTCAAAAAGAGACTCAACCAGGGGTCACAAAGAGTGGTTTTTAGTGCCATCCAGTGAGTGGAGTAGCTGGGCACCCCTAACCTCCATTAAGCACCCCTTTGTGACTGCTGGAAAAAGAGATGCGATTTTTGTGATAAACATTTCGTCGCTTTTGGAGGGACCGTGATTTTGGACCAGCATTCCTTGTAGGGGCCCTCCTAGATATGCCGTCTGTGTAAATTAGTAGCTGCTGCTTTTACTTCGCGAGATACCGCGTGGTTAATTCACAGCTAGTTTCGTTCCGTTTTAGTGAACAACACGACTACCCCACTCTTACCGCACCCGCCTATAGAGGGCAAGGGACGCGTAAAAACGAAGCGCCAGACCGATGTTGCGTCTTCGACCGATGCCCATTTCACCCTGGTAAGTTGACCTCTGTAGTTGTTTATTCTGTTCATTTTCCGTGGTCAACCATGTCCCGCCATGACCCACAATGGAAAGACCATGAAAGACCTAGCTTTGTCCTCGGGCCAATTCGCCACCATAGGAGCTCCTTGCGTGTCGCCCTGGGTCCACCTTTTGTCGAGAGGCCCGGGAAAAGTGGAAGACCTGTGGAACATGTAAACAAATCAAAGCAGTGTCGAATGATGCTCAACTCTGATGAAAGGTTCCAGCTGACATAGAGCCTGCGCGTTCCAATTTCGCTGCAGCGCCGGACGTTTGTGGATTCTACTTCTACAGGAGGCTCTTCAGTCTTCGACCGAATTTGTGCTACAAGCTGCATGGGCCTAACTTAAGGATCACAAAGGCACTCACAAAGGCATGTGTTGACGCCGACCGTTGGGTTGATATGTTTCAGCCGTCTCAGGGCAGCTGCAGATGGACATCTTGATGCCATGCACGTCCGTGTCTCAGAGCGATCGCAACAAACACAGCGTCCGAAAAAACACGACCACGACGCGTCCCGGTTCAGGTCTTGTCACACGCATACAGCAACGGTCACCGTGGTGCACCCAAAGATGCCGCAGAGGTGGGGAAGAGAAAACAAAGACGTGCATGACGTGCAGACGTGAAGACGAACGTGTAACACGTTTTAATCTTTTTTGTATAACTGTATAGTGACTTAGTGACACTTATAGATTCTTATTTAGTTCATGAATATTAATATATGCGAATAATATACAATTTATGTGTGCGAAATTGAGGAGCCACCAAAAGCGATGACCAATATGCAAAGGGTGGTCATGAATTCTCTGGAATTGGGTTAAAACTGCAAAAGTGAGATAGGCCCACCTCCCAAAAGCGATGATGCAGTTTTGACAGGTTTGGCTGTGTTGAAAGTGTGGTTGGGGCTCGAAACAGAGATGCGCCTCCCTCAAAAACGAACACCTTGCCACCGGTTTTGACAGATGTTCAATTGATGTCAGAATAGATAGAGCATTGATAGAGCATATTTTATAGTCGCTGCATTTGGATGCATTTGGTACCATTGCCTCTAGTTAATTCATGTTGCAAAACGCATTTCTTTTTGCAAGCTTTTAGCGCACAAAACGGACATTTTTGTCCTGTCACCTCATCCTCTTCGCGTCCAACGCCGCGGCGACGTCGAAGCGCCTGCGCAGGCCTTCGCTTGGAGCGCCGCGGCGGCGGCCCGCGGCGACCTGCGCGGGCGCTTCGACGTCGCGTACAGCCTGGAGTTCGGGCTGGGCACCGTGGCGGATCCGGTGACCTGGAGGAAGGCGGTGGCGGGGTGGGGCTTTGAAAGAACCTCTAGAACGGAGCTATATTAGGTTAGACGCTCCTTATACTGTATATACTTAGTAGGGGGCGGGAATCGTTGGGATCCGATGAAGATTCGACCCAGATGGAACGTCTTATTGGACGAGAGAATCCCCGCGAGAGAGATGCATTTGCACGCGAGAGTGCACTATCAGCGGTGGTAGCAAATAGTGGTAACAAGATGTAACAAGTATATAAATACTGGAGCCTGAAACAGGGATCGATCGAATTGCTACTTTGCAGACAAGATGAGCATCCTGATGGCTGGATGGATGTTTTATTTTTCTGGCATGGAAAAGGCCGTTCTGAACAGCTTAAGCATGAACAAGACAGTCTAATGATTCGTGTTTGCCAACCCCATTCCATCCGGGAGAAAACGTCTTGACGGTTCCGAGTCTTGACTTGGATGAGACGTCCGCTTTCTTGGAAGCCACCGGACAAAAAATAACGGCAGATTCTGACAAGCTGATTGCAAAGACAAGACTACAAGAACGTTGATTCTGACGCTGTTGGATTGGGGAAAGATGCCCCCAGAAGTGAACCTCATGTCGAGTAGGACTGCACGGTGCCTCTTTCAGCACACAGATCAGGAGCGTGCTTCGCAGATGTATCGGGAGATTCTGACAGATCAGGCCGCGAGCCTAAAGTGCAGAAGTATCGGCTTGTACATGCTTGTACAATGAGCAAATCCTCAACTTGCCTGAACCCGGGAAGCAAGCAAAGAAGTCTTAGAAGTGTTGAGTCTTGATTCTCAACTAGCGTCAGCTAGTTTAACCTGATCAACATTATCAACTTGAGAAATCGTTTCTCAAGCTTTCCTTTCGTTGACTCTTGGAATTTTGCAGGGCTGGGATGGCGATTCGATGGTGGGCAAAGCAGCCGCTTCCTTCCTGTCGCTTCTGGCGTCATCGGGCCGCTATGCAAGCAGCTGCTCGACAGGAAATCCAGAACGTTCATAATTGCTAAGGGCTTGATGGTTGAAGATGACCATTTCCTATTTTTCTATGTGTCCAATTTTCTCTCATAGTTGATAGTTTAAGGCGATTTTTATGCCATGATTGAATGGCTGCTGTATTTATTGTTTACTGCTCAGGACTTTTACACTCGACCTGAACATTCCGATCTTCTCGTCACGAAGAACGACCTGCCGAGTGCCTCATGGCCCCTGCAAGTGCTGGCCCAAGGATCCTGAAGCGATGTGACTAGAGGGGAGGATCCAATCTCAAGAGCAAGTGCTTTGGCGCTGCTCAACAATCTATGACTAAGATTGACGAAGCAGAAAGACACCTTCAAATGATGCATGACACACGTGCGATTTGTCACCTTGTGCCCTTGTGATTTTGCCAATAACAAGACGCAAGCAGACTTGCACCTTTAAAGTCTTGAAGCATCCTGAAATTACAACTGGCAAGGCAGGCCTCCTCCTCATCCCTTGTCACTCTCAATAACATGTCAAAATATATTACACAATGACGATGAAGGCCTTCACGAAAAGACACATGCGCGCCTGCACCTGCACGCCGTTACCGCCCAACTGCATGGCTTGGCATTGCGGACGCGAGGGTTTTTCTTGGTCGAAGCGGCCTGTGCAGAAAACATACGTTTGTTTCAATTGAGACATTCATTTCACCTGGATCCCGTCAGTCTGATGGCTGTACAATGATCACTAGACCCTTCATGAGCTCTCCAAGGTTGACGAGCCTTCAGAAGTAGATGTTCATGCATGTTCATGTCGTAAGCTAAATGCAACCCTTCCAAGAACAAAGATAGAAAGTGATTGGATAGATCCCCCGACCACCTGACTGCAGGTTTAGGCCGTAGTCCTTAGTTGCGCACCGGAGCTTCCGATCGCTCTTGGCCCCCTCGCCTCCCCCCCAGGTGCTCTTCGTTCCGCGCATCTCCGGTCCGACCTCCGGCGCAACGCCCGCCTGGAGGAGGCGCCTTCCAAGGGCGGCGTGGTCCTTTGCGGAGCTCTGTTCAGCTCCTGCCTGGTCTGGGTAAAACCTGTAACAGCCTGCCTGAAATTGACATGACGGACCCCCCCAAATCCCCCAGCAAGCCCCAGCAGTTTGGAGCAAGGGCGTCGCACCCTCAGTCAGGAAATTTAAGCACAGCGCCCAAACGCAGAAGATGCAGATGCTCACGCAGATGCTCTCAAAGCGTGCAGATGCGTCAGCGCACGTGCTTCAATCGAAAGCTGGAGCTAGAATATCCCCAGCTAATTTGACCCTCCCCATCCACCTGCCTATCAGCACCCACCTTGTCCACATCACCGTGCAGCGGCGTCACGGCGTCGCCGGCGCGTAGACAAAACGCCGTGTACGTCCAGGTCACGGCGTGTCACGGAAATGCCTTCTCGTCGTGTCGCGGCGTGTCACCTCGCGTTTTCGGTGGCGTATCACTGCCCACTCCTTTACTACGAACGGAGCAAGGTTCGCTACTAGGTAACAAAGGGCATCGCTACGAACGGAGCGATCGGACGCTACTAGAGGCTCCTGGCCTTACTACTAGGAACAAAAACACTACTAGCAACTTATGGAGGTCACCTTGTAGTGGCCTTGCGGCGCCTCTGCACCTGTGCCTTGTCCAGGTCACCGTTTCGCGGCCCGCGGCGTTTCCCCGGTGCAAGTCGCTTATGCAGACACGCGCAAGTCGCATGCACGCATACGTACGCGTTGGGTGATTTTGGACGAAGGATTTCACAAAGGGGATCTTACACAAATGGATGAAATTATCATTTAAGACCACAAGCAATGAATTGCAACACACATCAAGACTCTCTGGGGAAAGTCATCAGATCCCAATGGGGAAAAACAAGGAAAAACAATCGATGGAACTGTATATGGCGTTGAGTTGAGAGGGCCTCTCAGCTGTAAAGGTGCATATACAGTGATATTATGTTCAACCCACAGTAGATGTGCGAAGAAGCTCATGTCATGGACTTGAGAGAAGGGAACGTATTTTCAAGACATAGTGTGTGTTATCAAAATGATGAGGTTCCACCCAATCATTCTTTGAGGACATATTTATACAAGAAACTCTAAAAGAACAGCTAGGTTTGTTTCTTTTTTAAGCGATATATATCCCTAACACGATCCTGCCAGTCCACCGATGTTTGTATGATCACTTGACCCTTCACGAGCTGTCCAACACTGACAGCTATTCAAAACTGGATGTTCATGTGGCAAGGTAACCACAGCCCTTCCAAGAACAAAGATAGAAACTTGTGACTGAACAACTTAGTCTCGAGGTGTACCAATCCGGGCACGGCCGGGTCTTCGTTTCCACCCCGATAGGCGGCGGCGACAAAGTCTTGTCAGCGTGCCAAAAGGGGCACGTTCAGTTCATGTGCAGAAGGTGTTGCAGGCATTTGCAGATGGTGTTCTAGGGCAGGGCAGATTCAGGATGCTTCAAGTATCAGCTGGTCCAACATTATCCTGCGTGTTTTTGGATTGTGTCCGCAGCCATTGAGGCATGAGCAATTCATGCCCATTTGAGAGAGATGGCTGCCTACCAAGCCATTTTCATTACGAGAGATGCATTGCATTCCATGTGTTGATCCCTAAATGGATTAGACGATCAACTTCACATCCTCCCATCGCTACTCAACAACTCCACTCCCACGTCCCTCCCATCGCTCCGCTTTGCCGACTCAGCTGCGAAGATGCGGGCGGATGGGCCGTGGAGTTGAGAACTGGTTTTGCTGGGCCCTTGGTGCCAGGGGTGGGACATTGACCTCTAGCTATGGGACACCCCGATGGCCCTAGCAGGCCCTGGCAGCTTTTGCGCCAGATCCCTCCAGCTTGTCAACATGACAATCGATGTTTGATCTTCATTTTTCTGGCCGCTTTCTGAAGTGTTGGGATTGGGCACGGCTTATTCGCTCGATGTGAGGTGGTGGTGCCTTGATTTGGCTGGTTTTGCTTTGTGTGGAAGGCAGGACCGGCAGGACCTGCAATTGAAGACATGCAGACTTCGAGCTGTTCAAGCACCAAGATGTTTTTTTAGGTGGTGCGAGTGATGACCTAGTTGTGCGTCAATCTCATGGCAAGGGGGTGTGATCCTGAGTCAGAGCTGCTTCTCAAAGCATCACAAGGAGAGAGATTCCATGACAGAACCAGAAAGGCACAGCTTATTTCACTTGGCAAGATGAACAACGATGTCATCAATGACGTCGTAACTTATGCCCTCCCTCCAAGAAACATGGTTACATGGAGTTCACTCCCAGTTTTGGATCGTTTTGGTACTCAGACAATGGTCTACAACCAGGGGCCATTGCCATCCGCGGAACCATCGACTGGTTTCCAAGACTTTGATCTAAATCTGATGTCTTTGACGCTCCGCACCCTAGCAAAACTCCGTATCACAGCAGAGGTGCAGCCAAAATACCATGGCCAGTGGCTCTATAGACACCAGACCATATCGGCCCTCTGAACTGCTCGGAGTGAGGCGAAACGCCCCAAAGGTGCCCTTGCCGTGAGCCGTGACATTGAACGACGAGTGGTTGAGGCCGCGAAGGGTTGAGCCGCGACTGCAGTGCGAACGGGGCGCGACTGCTGTGGTTTTGGATCGAAACACGCCTTGCATGGAAGAAGTGAAATATCTTGACCGTTTTAAAGGCACGAAAGCGGGGATATGGACCGAAGGTGGCGTTGGTATATCTAATTAAATATATAGTCAAGTTGCAGAACTTCCCACACACACACACACAGAGCTTTGAGGCGGGCGGCAACACAGAAGGTGTTTTGCTCTCAGCTCAGGCAGCTAATAACAAGGTTCTGATCCTACAGGTTGGCACACCTTTGAGGCTTCGTTCATTCGTATCTCCGACTTGCTGGAAGACGCGCGCCGACAGGTCGACGCGCAGTTTCTTCGACAGACGTGCGCCAAACTCTCCGAGGTCATGGTCGTGTCCTTGTCGTGGGCATCAGCTGATGACCTCGACTTGCACGTCGTGCTGCCAGGCGAAGGTTGTTTCGGTGGACGATGCGATTTCTGTTGCAGGTCAAAATCATTCAAAACGCTGGCTGGGTTTGTAGGGTGAGCCCCAACTGGTGAGCCCCCAGCTGTATGAAAGCGAGAGTGGATGCGATGCAAAGACGAGGTGGAGAGGAGATCAGCTACAAGCGAAAGAAGGCCGCTGGCGGTGAACTGGATGTTGACATGTGCTTGCTTCTCAGGGGAGAGGATTGAAAAAAAACAGCGAGAGTTCTTCGTTTTCACATCAATTTGCATGACACAATGAGGTGTTCAAGGCAGACATAGTGGCTGGTGGCCCAAGCTATTTGGGTCGTTGGCGAATTCCGTGGACGCCGCCGCGCATGGCCCGGGTCCGTGCCGGACCGACGCCTAGGCAAATGCGCCGAGCGACCGGTGGAAAACGTGGTCTTTGACTATGAGCCACCAGCAGGGTGGGCCACCGAGACCGAGGTGACTGTGAAAGGCAGTTAGTTTGTGTATTTGTTCCTTTTTTTTCTGTGACAACTGTGAGAATATCTAATTGTTCTGCGCAAAAGCTTTAGGCGCTACAAGATCTTTGTGCAGAACTTCAACTACCACCTCAACACCCTTCCAGAGAACATGCAAGTGGCAAGGATGCAGGATATGTTTTTCTTTCCCAAAGCATTCAACGGATGCCTTGGAGCCATCAGTAGACTTCAGGGCATGTCTGGTGTTTTGTTCTGGTGTTTTCAGAGCAACGAGTTTGTCGCAGGAGGGAATCAAGACTTCGAAAGAAGAGAGGGAGCTGCGCTTGAGCCCCGCAGTCTTACTTTGGCAACACCGACGGCGACGGAGGAAGAAATCCGGAACACCGGTCAATACGTATATCTGTCGATTGTTAGAGAGCTGCCTGGCCGAACTAAGTTGCGCCCGAAATAACTACACTTTCTAGAGAATCTAGAGAACAGGACAGCACTGCTGAAGCTGTCTTCAATGCAGTTGTTGCCAAAGATGCTTACTCAGCGCAGAAAGCGCATTCGTGCGCCAGGTCAAAATCGACCTGTCTTGTTTGACTTGCTTGTCAAGGCAGGCTGAAGCGCAGTGATGGCAAAAGTACACTTCTCGACGGCCAACACCCTGACACTCCATGTATGGCACATTTACCTACGCTGGGTTGGTTTCAGGGGTCACCTCAGGCGTATATATTCCATACATGGAGTGTTTGAGACACGGAAGTGGAACATGGACCTTTGAACAGTCTTGGACAACTACCTCGAACTCTACCAAGCTTGTTCCTGTTTTTCTTCCACTTACGCCTTACGCGTGCATGTCATTATATACATCATTGCCCATGCCAAGGGTGTAAGCTCGTGACGAAGCACTTCGAAGGTACATGGAGTGAAGAAGCTCTTCGAAGGCTTGTGTACGTTCTCACCCTAGAGAGTCAAAGAAACACGAAGAACACGGCGCGGTTGGAGCTCCAAGCTCGAACGCCGAAGTTTGGAAGCCTCGAAGGCGCATGATGCACGATGAACGAGGGACTGAAAGCAGACCCAAACAGGGCGGTTTGGGGAGGCGTAGGTATGCCTGCATGGAGTCTGAAGTGTTTGGTGACCTACGAGGTGTCAACTGGTCCAGTGCAGGTGTCGAGATCCACGTCACGAAAAGCACGGTGGGTCGGCGGTGCATTTAGACCCATTTTGTGATCCGAATGAGACCAGGAAAAGTAGACACCGGAAATCACTATGTCACACTATATACACATCACTATACACTAAGTGCACCATGTGCAACATCCACTGAAGCCATCTCAAGCCGGGTGACCGTGTCAACATCGGTCAGAAGGCCACCATATGCCGCCCGATTCATTCAAACAACCATCCTTCTGGCGAAAAAGCGCCATACACCAGGAGTTCTGATAAAAGGACGCCAGAAACTATACATGGGTTTCTTGGGTCCCTATATTCTATTGCGTCTATTGCACACCTTTTTTGCCGCTTCTTGGCAGAGAAGTAGAAAGTAGTGTGGCAGAGAGTAAACTTACTGAGAATGCCTTTGGCCTTCCCAAACTAGGTTCTTGCACATGCTTTCACTCAGGCCGACGGGAAAAACACTCGCCTCCAGTGATGCCGAAACCCAAGTGATGGATTGAGCTTTGGGAGAAGCACTGCCTTCTGCAGACTGCGTTCACTCAAGAGTCGGTGAAGAACACATATTTTTTGGCTCTTTAGGTGCGGGTCATTGAGTTTGACTACGATCCGCAGGACGACAATTGTTTTTGTGGGGTGACATTTTCCGCAAATTACCTTCCTGGTCGGTGCACCAGGAGGAAAGCTTCACCACGGACTTCGAAGCTTCTCCAAGTCCTGAGTGCATCTCACTTAGTGTTTCGTTTTTTTTGCGACGGAAACCGGAAGGGGAAGGTATACCGGACATGACCCGCCGCGGTTGTGGCCTATCTTCAGAGGGGAAACCACCAGCCAGTCTGGAAACTGGTTATCCAGAAGGATCCGTGAAGGACTTGGAAGTCGCGTTGAGCGAAGCGAAACGACAGGAGTCATCTGAATGCGTATGATGCGTACGATCGGCTGCTATGGAAAGCGTGGTGCTCAGGTACACAGTACACCGAGAAGCTGAAACTGGCTGCCCCAGAGGTGCTTTTGTTTTGGGCATGAGAAAAAAGATGAGAAAAGGACACACTCTGACACTTGTATTCAGTGACTCAATTACCACGATGGGAA